GAGAGAGAAGCCCACTCTGATAAATTTTTAGCCCCAAATTTCTTTTTCCTGTTGTTAGGGTAGAGCTGCAAACTAAAAAAATATCTCTACTCTATTCTCTTCCCCCTCTACTTCAGGAATACTGCACAGACAGTGTGGACTAATAGGTTTTTTTTTTTTAAGCACACGTGATTACATTAACAGATCTAAAAATAGCCCTTTAAAGATTCACAGGGGCAGATGGCAGCTTGTGGCAGAATGGATATCAAGGGAGCGAAGAGCTGCCTGTCTTGCCAGTTTCTCTCTGGAACATGTCACCAGGCCAACAAACACTAAATGAGAGTCCCACCACAGTTAGTATGAGCTGAAGGACTGTGAAAAAAGGAATGCTTAGGCAGGGAGCAGTATTCCCTCAGGCAATTTTCAGCCCCTACTGCTTTCTCTGGTAGGATCAGAGCTGGAGGTGCCCCCAAATTATTGGCTGAAACAGGCACGTGAAAGTAATGCCTCTCTCTGATTGTCTTCCAGAATGAGAAACTCAATGAGGCAGTTTCTCCATTCCTGGAGATTGTATATTGATTCACTGGTACTCATTTGACTCCCAGAGTTCAAAGAAAGATTGCCCAATCTTTGCATGAATTCTGAACTCATCCTTCAGTTAGATCAGTTCTGAGAGAGAGGGAAACGATCAGAAGTTCCCTGTGTCAAGGCACTCTGCTTTAAGAGGCAGCGCCAAGCTGCTCCAACAGTGGAAGTTGGAGCCTATGTTACTTGCAGGCTCAGAGGGCCCTGCCAAGACTCAGATAGCTCCATCTAATCCTTCTTGTCCACCCAGAAAACCCAAGCTGCCACCATGAACCCCAGCTAAGCCTCCATGAAAGGCCTCTACCTTCTTTGGGAGATGAGACTGGGAGACTTTGGTGTTCTCTGAGTCCATGTGCCCTTTTCCTTGACAAACTTAAGACAGACTTTACAGGATTTAAGAAAGTTTTCTGATGATCCCGTTAAGTACACAGAGACATTTCAAAGTTTAACTCCATCTTTCAATCTAGCATGGAAGGATATTAATCTCCTTTAAAATCAAACATTAACCTCTAATGAAAGCAAGAAGACTTAGATACAGCAGAGGTCTTCTGAGATGACATATGATTTATTATAAAAGGGCCAAGAAACAGCAGCCAGGAAAAGACCATTTCCCACAGGAAGTCAGGACATCCCAGAAGATCCTACTCGGACCCTGATGACTGCAAGGACAGAAGGGCATGATAAATATCTCCAGGCCTGTATCTTGGAAGAGTTGTGAAGGATTCATTACTAATTGCACAGAATAATTGTCCTCATCTTTTCAATATCAAATTATGCCTGTTATTAGATGTAAAGTGCTTGGCTACAGAATACCTGTGTATGCTTTTCTCTCTATTCTATCAATCTATGCCCTGTGGTTAGAGATTTTAATCTATTTATGTTTAAGGTGATTGCACATAATAAGGATGTGCTTTTTCCATTTGTTCGTTTGGCATTTTGGCCCTTCAGTAACCCCACTACTAGTGGCTTTCCCTTGATTTGATATTTCATTGTGACACATTTTGACTCATATCCCTTATTCTTTTATGCTTATTGGTGGTGATTCCTTTATCTTTTTTGATACTACTGATTTTAAATTGTAACATCTGAAATTTACTGAAATGTATTTAAGATTGATGCCATGTTAACCTCAATCACTTTAACCTAATATAACTCTCTCTTTCGTTTTCAGTTCTTGTGCTATTAATATTACAAATTAAATCTTGATGTATGGTGTGCCACTTAATATAGTGTGAACATTCCTTATATGTTGACTGGATTAAGAAGTGCCCAGGAGATTAATGAAGCATATTTCTGACATATCTGTGTGTGTCATGGCTTATGACCTTGGATACTATAATATATGACCTCTGGCTCCTTTTCCCATTCTGCTTTCTGATTGCCATGAGCCAAGGATCTTCACTCCGCCATGCCCTTTTTCTAAAAAGTTCGTGCTTTGGAGCTGGGCAATAATGGGCTGAATGCCCTGAAACCACGAGCCAAACTAAACCTCTAGTGCTTCAAGTAGTGAGTGTAAGATATTATATCCCAGGAAGAAAAATCTAACACAGACAATGATCATTATTTTATGTACTTTTGATGTTTTTAGAAAATAGAACTGTACAGTTCCAGCTATAATATTATTTTTCATATAATCCTTAAGCTTGCTTTTACCAGAGAATGGATGTTTTCAAATGGCATCTAGTGATTTTGGAACCTCTTTATTTTAGTTTGAAATACTTCATTTTATATTTTTTATAGGGTAATAATAGTGATAATGGACTACTTATCCTTTAGTTTATCTGGAAATGTTTTAAACTGATCCTAATTTATGCAGGGTAATTTTTCCAGATATTGAATTATTATTTTCACTATTTTCCATATAACACTGTTAAAATGGAAAAAATGTATATTAATTTTTATGAGAGTAATAAGATTAGGATTTCATATCTTTTGCCCAATCTGGTAGGAGAGCAATTCAACATCACAGGGGTTTGTGTGCCACCTTTTCTTGATGCATAATGAGGAAGTTTTGTCCTTTTAATCAGGACAGCTGCCACCTGTGCACATGATAAAATTGGAACTTACACACTTTAATGTATTATTTTGTCATGAGTAAGTTGCTTTATCCAATGGCTATTGTTTAGAACTTCTTGACATTGATTACAACACTCAGAAAAATCCTCAAATGATATTTGTGGGAGAAACAAGAAAGATAAATGGATTTACATGAAATCAGTCTTTCCAGAGTTGAGTTAGGTTTGCTATAGTCAACTAAATACCCATTATTAGTCTGATCTGTTCTACAATATTAGTGGTCAGAGGGATCAGTCTTCTTGGAAAGGTGGTTATTTAGAAGTTATAAAAATCACCTTATTCAGAAGGAAGAGATAAATTAACAGAAAAATAATCCCACTTTTTTGTTTTTTCAGTTCCAGCTGGGACTACAAACTACTGAATCATGCTGCCTCAAACAAGGAAACTTTTCCTCACTCAGTTTTCTGGTCCCAATCTTCCTGGAGACATTCAAGAATATGCTTTTCTAATACTCTATGTGTCTCTAAATCAAGTTAACACCCTAAATTAACCATATTAATGTCTTAACTTCACTATGCAGGGGTAATAATCTGTCATTAATTAAAACAAGAAACTTATCTGTCAGGCCTCTGCTCATGAAGCTGGGGTAGAAAAAACTTAAGATAGAGAACAACTTTCCTGACCCTTACCAAAATCCCCCAATGACCTCTATAGCCTGGCTGCACAGGAGAAAAGTTTCAGCAGACAGAGGCACCAGGAGGGGCAGTTGATACAGCCCAGCTTTATACTTTCCTACATGGTTTATGCTATGACTTGTACCACTGTGGGAGGGGAACTGTCATTCTGTGCACAGTAATAAACTGCAACATCTTCAGGTTCCAGGCTGCTGATGGTGAGAGAACAATCTGTTCCAGATCCATTGCCACTGAACCTTGGTGGGACCCCAGATTGCAAAGTGGGTGCAGAATAGATAGAAGCTTAGGAACTTTCCCTGGTTTCTGCTGATACCATTCTAAATTATTGTAATTATCCTGACCGACCTGGAAAGTGATAGTGACTCCGTATCCTGGAGACAGAGAGGAAGGATGGAGCCTGGCTCATCTGGATGTCACATATGGCACCTGAAATTGGAAGCCATAATCAATCACATTATAAGAAAACTTCCTTGAAAGGCTAGGCTGCACTAATCACATAAGGCTGAGTAAATTTGCAGCATTGTCCCTCCTTTCCTTGGAGGAAGAGCTTCAGGAGCCCTAGGAGCTGAGTGGAAACCCTCATGTCCATGCTGTGTTCTGACTGGGACTCACTGCTGCTCAAGGTGTGAACAGCCTGTTTTAAAAGTCCTTAGGGAAGTGGGCTATGCTCTGGGCACATGCAAATCAGCAGGGCTGGGAAGGGCTGGGCACAGCTGCAAGACTGGTTCATTTCAGTAAATCAGCACAGGCCCAGGGCCCCAGGTGTTCCAAACAAGACCAGGGTAGTGAAGATTAGGTTCAGTAGTTTTTTTCCCCCAGGGTTACAGGATGGAATCTGTCAGTTGCCCTGTGGTTAGTGATCTATTGGTGTCCTTGGGGTTATAAATAAGTGGGTTTTTCCTGGTTACTAATTACAAGTCTGTGTTAATGACTTTTGGAGGTGCAATTAAGGAAAATGTGGATATTTCATTCTTAAGATACAAAGAGAGAAATTAAGATGAGACTAGATTTATAAACTATATGAAGGAGTCTGGGTTCCTCCAGACAGTGACACAACCTGCCTATGACCTGGGGAGGATGTACTCAATTATGGTTTCCAGCCCTTCATAACTCAATCTCTTCAAAATAAATACGGTAGCATTTGATACTGACTGGACTCTTCTAAATGTCACACTGAAGTCATAGGTTCATTCTCTGAAGTATATTTTTGAATAAATTGCAATCATTCAAAAACAAATGAGAAGCCGTGCATGGCAACAGAAGCCTGTAATCCCAGTATCCTGGGAGGCTGACGCTGGAGGATCACAGCTTTGAGCCCAGCCTGCAAAACTTAATGACCCAGCAAGTCCCTGCCTCAAAATAAAATAAGTAAATAAATAAATACAGCTGGGAAGGTAGCTCAGTGTAAAGGTGGGTTCAGTCCCCAGTATCATATAAACCAATCAATCTAATCAATCAAACAAGAGAATCTACCCTAAGCCATAAACAGAAGTCTGACTGTTGGAAAATTCAGAACTGGTATAGCGATTTCCCACTGATCCTAAGGGGACAAAAACAAGATGTCAAGAAAAATTTTCATCCCAGCGTCTTACTTCAGAAAGCCTGTTTTGTTGAGAAAAATGAGTAGCATCTATCAAAAAGCATATATATCATGTATCCATTTTGTGATGTAATAAAGAAATTAATGTATTAATATAGTTATTTTGTTTGTTCTGGTACCTAGAATCGAACTTGGGGCCTTGTGTTTGCCAGGCAGGCGCTACACCACTGAGCTACATCACCAGTCCTATAAAGTACAGTTTTGTTTCTATAATGAAACATTTTAAATTCTGGCAAATTGAGTTCAAATATTGAGAATCCACAGTGAGTACACTGTTACCCAGTCCTCCATTTTAGAGCCTGAGCATTGTAAATTTCAGGCCCTGCCCTGAGATCCTGTAGTGACTCATCAACTGCTAATGATCATGGGGAGCAGAGGAACAGATCTGAAATCATAGCTCCTTTCCTACTGTCACTACCTGCCCTCCTGTATGGGACACTCTGAGTTTATTTCTTTCTGTTCCCCAAATGGAGACTTCAGTGAGTTCTGAAGCCCTCCTACTCTGAATTCACAAGGCCACTTCATTCTTACTGCACATGGTTGCCTTCAGAGTCACAGCTTTGTTCTCCTACACACTGAAGCTCATTGCTGCCGTCACTCCAAATATCTTCATGGAAGATGTTTTCAGGGTATGGCTATGAATGATCACAAAGAAAACAGAAATTAGGTAGCAAGTGGCACAGTGGGGAGACACAGCCTGCTGTGAAGAGGCCCAGCTGCCACATGGTCTGGGGGGCTGGGCACAGATCTGTACAAGGTTCCTGTTTGGTAAGGGCAAAGTGTTACTTCTGCTTTCCCAGTGTCTCTAAGATCAAGTTCCTGCTTTTATTATGAAGTTTGTTCACCACTTAATGATGGGTTTGATTTAGCTCACATCTTACAATATTTTCATTTTAGACCTTTATATCTTGAGACTTTTCACTCATTTTCAAGAATGTGACCTTACAGATTCTGTACAATACTCAAGCAATTCCTCTTCCCAATAATATGACAAAATATTTAAGGATAAAAGACAATCAGTTCACTTGGAATTCTTGAAAGAGAGTGGTCTCAGATGGAGTTTTAGGGAAGAGGCCCTGAACAACCCCAGAGGGTGTAACGATACAGGGTGGGCAGAAGCTGAGAGATCCTGATTTAATCTTTGCCATTGCATCCCAGAAAACCTTACATAACTGGTTATGAGGCTCCTGAAAGCGCAGATGGGTCCTGTGCAGAGCTCCCATATTCAGTAATAAGGACTGCTGAGGCAACAGGTGCAGTCTCAGATACACTGTGACTCTGCATTCTACCTCTCCCATACCACACTCCTCACAGGCTTTTGAGAAGGGGAACTGGCTAGTCTCCAGAGCTCAGAGAATAACCTGCTTCACACATCACCTCTTCCTTTGAAGCTGTTCTTGACCATCAGATTTGTGTATGACAGTTTGGACAATACCTGTTAGACATGGGTGCATTGAGCTTTTAATCAAAAATAATGAATCTGGAGAGAACAAAGCTAGTGTTCAGTAAATCAAAGGAGGGGACTGGCTGCAGTGTAGGTGTTAGAATATGGCCACATTTTGAAGTTCAATGGACATCGAAGGCATAAATCTGGTGTGGTTGAAAGAAGTCAGGTCCTGAAGATGACAAAGAAGTCAAATTTCAATTATCAACTGGCAATGCTGGCTTAAGTGTGGAAATGCGGATTGTGAACTCAGGCCAGCACAGCAGGCACTGGAATAAATGTGACTTTTGGAAAAGAGGTCTCAAACCAGGGCTTGGTTTGAGGTCAGGCCCGAATGGAAGAGAGCTCTGGACTCTGGCCCTGGGCCATAGAGGAAGCAATTTCTCTCCTGAGGAATAGGCTAAGGACCTGCTGGAGCCAAGAGCTCTGCTCACAGGTTGGCCTGGAAGGGAATCCAGGGAAATGCCAACACCCATGTCACTGAACCAATCTCAGAGCCACAGCTAGGATGAGTCTGAGACACTAGGGCCTCAGAGCTAGGCCTGGCTTCTTAGGGGCCACTTTTTCACTGTTCTGCTCTCACTGGTCCTGAGGGACTGAGACTCTGATGGAGCCAGAGAGGACAATCAGAAAATGTGTCCACTCACAGTCTTGTCTGAATCAGAGATAGAGATGTATACACATATAAAGGACATATACATTTCAGATAACTATATAACTAGAATACATGATAAATGTTGATACAGATATAACATGAATTACTGTCAAAGTAAATGATTCTAAATTTAATGAATTAAGCAAGTACATTAGAGCCCCTCCAGATCCACCACTCCAAGGCTGCTCCCTGACCACACAGCCCAAGTCATGAAGCTCAGGATCCACCATCACCAACAGGACAGGCAGAACTGGGTCCTGCAAGCTGCAGGAGACTTTGCATGGCCTGTGGGGGATGCACTAGTGACACAAAGTAGCAGGTGTCAGAGATTGGCAGTAGGTCTGGCCTGGAAATGCAGTTTTATGTCCAGAGATTGAAGTAGGCAGCTTTTTCCCTGGTGGCTTCTGTTACACAGGGCAGCACACAGCACATAGCACACATGGCTCAGTGGCTACTAAGTCAGAGGGAAACTACTCCACAACCCACTGGCAGCCTACTCTCTGAAAGTGACATGGATGACTTGGCCCAGTCTTCATGTGGCTGCCAGAACTCTGATTACAATAGGTCATATCAGTCCCATGTGGAAGCTTCTGATAATCCTTCCATAAGTACTTAGAAAGTGGAGTCAAAACTTGAGGTCAATGGTGTTCCAGAATGTGAGAGAAAAAGGCCTCTAAACCCAAAGAGGTGAATATCCAAAGTGAAATAAAGGTGATTTGTCCTTGTGTCTTCAGAGTTAAGAAGTTTGCAGAAACTCCTGAAGTCTTAAGTCAGTGAGGCTGGTAAGACTAGATGTTCCCTGTAAAGGATATGAGAGGGTGTGAGACGTTGGATTCAGAGTTCAGAACTGTCCTCCCGCCTGTTCCACAAAGATGGAGAGTGCATCAGCAATTACTCTAAAGAAGCACCCAGGTGAGGTTTGTGACTAAAGAGGGACAGGAAAATAGGCACATGTCATGAAAGCACCATTCACAGATGCCCAGAGTGACATCTCTTCCTGATCCACCTCCTGACTCACTTAAGTCATTCTGTTGGGGAATACTGTGAGTAAGCACATGCCGGAGCTTGGCCTCATTGTTGCTGCCCACAGACTCAGACTGTTAATATTCTGCCTGGCTCTGTAGATATGATCTTCTCTAAAGGGATTCAGAGATTAATGCTGGAGGTGGGATCCACAGATGTTCCTATTGTTATCTACGTGGGAAGCAATCACAAGCATCTCCAAATATGCAGTTCTGATTAGCAAGTCTAGCAGGTGAACAACTTCATCTGCAAAGAAACTTTGTGCTTAATGCAAACACACTGAGGATGAACCTTTCTCAACAAGAGTCAGAGCATAAGATTAAGAGAATTACACTGGTCCCATGTCTGCAAAGTATCTCTTGGGGCTAATTCTGAGAGGGTTGGGATGGCATATTATTCTACTTGACTAAAATAGGAAACCAAAATATTTCAGGTTGGGTGGCTTAAACAAGAGAAATACAATTTTTCACAGCTTGGAGTCTGCAAAGTCCAAAATCAAGGTCCAGAACATATCTATTTATATTTTATACTCTATTCTTATTTCTTATCTTGCAGTGTTATCAGAAAGCTTTTCTTTGATACATAAGATACAGGTAGCGATAAAGCCTCTTCTTACCCCAAGATTTAAGGACAGGAGCATTATAGTATTAGCTCCCACCTGTATGACTTCATTTAAGCTTTATTCCCTTCCTTCAAATACACCAAAATGGGTGTAAGACTTCAACAATTGTATCTGGGAGATACAAGGAAGTCCTTAAAGAGATGGGCTTTGGAAACAGGGACAAAGTAATGGCTAGGGACAACTCCAGGCTTCCACTCTGAGCACAGAATGAATTTTCTCTGCAACCAAGCACTCTGGCAGTTCCTTCCATGTGTCTCTGGTCACACCAGAGATCCTGTCCACTCCTGCAGGCTCCCTGTTGATAACAGGCCACTATCACTTTACTACTTCTCTAGTATTTCCGAGTCTGTTTTTTATTTCAGTACATACTTGAAACAAGCAACAGAAGTTACTGGTGTAAATTTAGGAAGAAATGTGGAGTGCTCATCTGGCCAGAGGTATACAAGGTGTTAGCCAAGTTACATATATCTTAAAACTGCTATGTCAGTTATTTGCCAAATTATTTGGGATCATTTTTATAGTAGGATTTTCAATTGGACAGAAAAAGGTAAGATTTCAATATCTATCCTAGAGACCAGCCAAAATATTATAAGCAGCATTATATCACAAATGCCTGGCTATGAGAAAAACACTGTTTACCAAAAGATTAACTGAGACATCTATTTGGTATCTGGTCCTCCTACCTTTAATCTACTGATTTATCAGCACTTCCTATCACTGTAATAAGTTCTCAAGATGAGATTTTCACTCTACATAGAAAAGCATATTTGGGAATTCAGTCACAAAATCTTTTTTGAGACCAGGTCTCCACTACACAGTTCAGGCCGGCCTTCAAATCACTACAAAGCCCAGGCTGGCCTGGAACTCTCAATGATCCCCCTGCTTCAGCCTCCAGAGTAAATCCACTTACATTAAATGATCAGAATATACATATCTGTCACAGTTGCACAACTTTGCAGATATAGCTGCACAATTCAATAGAAGCAATGTTTTCTACAAAAAATCAAGTTGAACTTCCTGCAGTTTTTTAGTTCAAAGAGCTTGTTAAAATTCTCTTACAAGTAAAATTATTGTTTTGAAAAAAAAAACAACTCTGTATCCTGATCCTCACTTTCAGCACCATCAGTAAAGATAGAAAATGGTAAGCCTATTATACATAAGAAACTATTCAATTTCTTATATGACCTTAATTTTCTAAAAAGAAAAAAGTTCCAAATATTTAGAATATATTTCACCCAATTCCTTTAAGTCTGCCTTTAGATTATTAAAAGTTTATTTTATTTTCTCTAATTTACTATCTTAATATGAAATAATCTAAGACTTGGAAAGTTAAACTAGCTCAGTTTTCCTCACTGATTACTATTCTTCTACATAGGATAATGAAATTATAAATGGCTTTGGAGTGTATCCTCAAGTATTCTTACAGCATATAATCAGGGAAATCCTTTAGAGCAAACTGTAGCTTTATAGTAGGCTAAGCTTGTTAAATGTACTTATTATGACAGATTTTCTGACATAAAAATTGCTCATTTGCACATAATTTCAGACAAGTCATCAAACAGGAAAGAGAAAGCATATGGAATAGGGGTGGAGTGAAAAGTCATGGATAAATTAAAACCTGGAAAATATTTGCAAAAGAAGAAATACTCTTTCGGGGTCAGAAGAATGAGAAGTCACCATTTTGAAATTGGATAAGAACTACAGACCATATTACTAATATTCAGGCTGAAAAATGCAGTAATCACAGTATCTCTAAAAATCATTCCTAAAAAAAATACAGTGCAAAAGAATCCTATGAAGATCATGAAAACCACCATCATTTTTCATTTGTTCAAACAGGGGCTTTCACAAAAGACGCAAACTTGCTTCAAATGAAAAAAATCCCTATAGGAAAGATCCAAGACCCATTTCACAAACGATATATACTCCATTAACAATCTCATTAACAGTGTACAAACAGAGGCCTTATATTTTTTTAAAAGGTCAACATAAATGCTGACTCGGGGAGTGTTTCATACCCCAAACTCCAGTATTCAGCTGTATCCAGTCATGATATTACGATTTGTAAAAATCTTAACTGCGCAGCGACTCGTGTTTTCGTAACTTCAATGAGGCATCAGAGGTCAATGAATCTTGGCTTGAAGCATTTGTTGCATCCGAGGACCGGGACAGTACTCGACCACGATGATTAAATACATAAAAGGAAGGGTGATTCCTTAAGGTGTCAAATGTCTTATTCTTCAGTTCTGAAGTGGCATTCACGTCTTTAAACTCTCCGGCAATATGAACTATACCGTAACATGTAAATGCAAAGGCCAGAAGTGTCTGAAGAATTATATCTACCGGAAGCGATTCATCTTCCTTTTCTGTTAACCGCATGTAAGAACGATGCTGCGCAGCGGAAAAGGCGGCGTGGGCTAGGGCAAAGAGGGCAAGGCCTACCAGTCCCTTCCACAGCGATGGCCCCATGACTCTAAAGGAGAAAGCAGCACAAAAGGAGAGCGATAAGACGCGGCAAACTCTTTCTTCTTCTGCGGAAGTCCGCGTGGCGTCTCAGAAAGATGTCGTCACAGACGCCTTGTCCGCGCCGCTGTGCAGAAGGCACCGTTGTTGACGCCCCTAATGTGCTGTGACGCCAAAAGACGTGGTCTTGGAGTCCCTGTCAGCGAGGCGGTGCATAAAGATGACGTTACAGATGCCTTGGACCGAGGCACTTTAATGGTGCAAAAGCTGCAGAACCCTGAGAAAGCGGAGATAGGAATGCCTGGAGGAGAGAGACCACGAGTTTTTTGGTTTTTTTTTTTTTGGTACCGGGGATTGAACTCGGTTCCTTGTGCTTGCAAGGCAGGCCTCCAAACCGCTGAGTTAAATCCCCGGCCCTTTGTTTGAATGGGTTTTTTTTGTTTTTTTTTCTTTTTCTATTATTTTAGTTCATCATATTTGTTAATTTCTCACTTTTCTTTGTGCTGTTTGTAATTTAATTCCATTACCATCAGAGAAAATACTTAGAATGCTTTCATTTTCTTAAATTTATTAAGATTCTTTTAATAACCCAATATATCGTGTGTGCTGGAGAATGTTTCATGTGAATTTGAATAAAAGTACACTCTGCTGCTGAGGTTGGAGTGTTCTTTGTGTGTATGTTAGGTCCAATTCTACAGTGCTGAAGGTAAGACTTCCTTCCTGATCATGTCTGATTCTTCTTTTTCTTAATTTTATATTGGTAAATTTTAGATATACATATTGATAACATTTATCATCATGTACCTGCACATGATATATCTAGCTTTTTAAAACCCATTCTCCTCTACCTTCAATCCCACTTCCTCTCCTTATTTACAAAAGCTTTGTTTCCATTTTTTCCTTCTATTCTTTTTTTCTTGTGCCTTCCCTTCATCTCCCTTCTTTCCCTTCTCATTTCTTTTATACATTTATTTTTATACATTTTGGACCTTAATTACACTTTGGTTTTTCTCACACCCAGAGAAACAAAGTTGTATTTATAAATATCTGGTTCTTATTTGCATTATCAAAAGTACCATACTGAAATCTCCCAACTATTATTGTGTCACTATCTGTTTCTCCTTTTTTCTTGTTCCTTCTTCATTTCTCCCTCCCTCTCCCTTCATCCCCTTTTCATTTGAACATTTTCTTCTCATTTCCCAATACCTTTTATACATTTTGGACCTTAAGTACACTTTGGGATTCTCACACTGGAGAAACGATGCAGTATTTATAAACATCTGGTTCTTCTATGCATTATCAAAAGTACCATACTAAAATCTCCAACTGTTATTGTATCATTATTTCTTTCTCCTTTCGGGTCTGTGTTTGTTACCTGTATTTTAGAGCTCCAGTGTGTGGTCATATATGTTTACAATTGTTATTTTTCTTGGAGAATTGACTCTTTACCATGTTCCTGATCATTCGATGTTATTGGTGTATAAAGTATTTTATAATTACATCATTTCTCCTTTTATTCTTTGATTCTTTTAAGAATGCGGACTAAAACAGTTTGTGTCATAATGGTATGCATACTCCTGTTGTCCTTTGCTTATTTGCATGGAATATCATTTTTTAGCTTTGCACTGTTCAGTTATGCTTGCTATTAGACTTAAAGTGAAATTCACATAAACAGCATATTTATGTATACTGTCCTATAACTTATTATGATGATATGTCTCTTAGGCTCGGTTAATCCAAATTTAAAGTAAATATATACAATGAAGGATTTGGTTTTGCAATTTGTTTTCTGTTGTTCTTACGGCTTTTGGGCCCTTATTTCCTCCATTACTCCAGCAGTTCTCTTTGATGGACTTGTTGTGACACTGATTCCCTTCTCCTTTTCTTTCTGTATATGTTGTAGTTTGTTGTTGTTTACTCATTTCTTTTTCACTTGAATATAGTATAACAAAATTATTAATATCAAATTTAAATTCATGCCTCTTTAATTTCAATCACATTAATAAAATGTGTACTATTGTATAGTTGCATTTGTGTTGCAATTATCACAAATGACATCTAGATATATTGAGTAGTAGCAGAATGACATTTTATTCATATTTAATACCATAGAATATAAAAAGTGCAGTTACAGCATACATTACAGTAATACTGGTGAAAGAAGAATCCAGCTGACAGGAATAGAATACAGAGCCAGTGTTTTCCATGAAACAATTCCTGTGAAACAGTTTACCTTTCAAGCTGCTAATGCTGTTTTAAAACATCTCAGCTTTAAAGGATTTGGCTTTTGCTTCTGTTTGTTTATTGCATTTGGTTTCTACCACATTCTGCATGACCCTAATATTGTTTTAATCGTAGGCCTTATGTTCCATGTCTACTCCCTTATTGATGAAGAGCTTACTGGGACTTCTCCTCGTGTAATATGTTCCCCAAAATCATCCATGTGGCCTCTTCTGGACCACATCTTGGGGCACAGCCCCTTTGCTTTATGTGCTCTACTACAGTTGACTCATTTAATCCAAGGTCTCTTTGCACAGGAATTTTGATGAAATTTGATAATTGCAAGCCTACAGTCCTCTGAGATCTAGTTTTCCTTGACAGTGAAGCAGACCTCTCCATCTATGAAGCCTGGCAATAGTCCCTTCATTTCTGAGATTTTTTTTCCCATGGAAAGTATGTCTGGGTTAATTGCTGGGTTCTCATTATCATTCCCAACACTTTCATCCATGAAAACCCCAAACACAGCCAAAAATCAGGTTTTTGACCATGGTTGACTAATATATTCATTCCCTATATACTTCCATTCCTTTGGCTGCTGACAGAATTAAAATTCTTGCCTTTTAGCAAAGAAAGTAAATCTATCATTCTGTTTTATTTCAGATATATAAAATATAAGTTATGCTACTTGTTTTTGAAATCAAACTTTTGGAATTTCAAGCATTACTTCTTTCATCAGCAAGAGAATTGAAAGAAAACAAGGAAGTTTTAGTATCAAGATGTTCTGCCACCTGTGAGTTACAGAAGTCTATTTGAAGACTCAAAGCCTGAGGTTTTCACTAATTTTCCTTGGCTAGCTCCCTCTGAGGTTAGCTTGATGAAATGCTATCCCCACTGTCTTCATGAATTGAGAAAATAAGTGCAAAAGAGGACAAGTAAGAAGTAAGGAAAATGATAAAACTTTTAAGTGTTCAATACTATTCTCATAAAATTATACACAAAACTGCTAAAGCTCAAAATGTATTTCATATGTGTTGTCACAAATCTGTGTTTTGATTATAATTCTAATTCAAAGTTATTAACACATGTAGGTGGGGCAGAGAATATTAGCTTTATCTGTTCCATCTTTGCAAGATAATTTTTTGTGTTTATGTCATATACTCTTTGATGAAAAAATATACAGTGTAGGGGCCAGGGACTTGGCTCAGTGGTTCTGCTGCCAGCCTTGCAAGCACAAGTGCCCAAGTTCAATCCCCAATACAAAAAAAAAAATACACAGTGTATTAACTATCTTAATATTTCAGTATGAATTTTTGTTTTGTTTCATTTTCATATAAAATAAAAAAGTTTATTCAGTTATGCTTGAGTCTTGTTCATTTATTTAAGTCATCTATTTTGAGCCATGTATGCCTTGTCAAGGGTTTTGCAGCTGACAGAACAAACCTTAGTGGGATTGGCCCGAGCATATTACATATGCAGTTGGGCACCCATGGGACAGAGATCTAAACTTCAACTTGATACTCTGAGCTCTCCAACCTTTTCCTCTTCCACAGATTCAGGCCATCTGCTGTACTACTCCCCAGAGAGTAGGCGAGGGCAGGTGGGCCACTGCATGGAAGTTGGTTTTAGGGGATGAACTACCGTGGGAGGAAATTTTGTACCTTGCATGCAATAATAAATTCCAACATCTTCAGGCTCCATCTCACTGATTTTCAGTGTGTTGCTTATCCTTTCTTTTGTATGTCAGAGACATAAGCTCTGAGCTCCTACTCCATCTCCCTACTGATCTCCTTAGCCTGATCTTTGCTTTCTGATTAGCATCTTTCTCGTCTTGTCTGTATGATCTTACCTGAATGCTATTCTTTTTATCCATAACTTCATCTTGTGGGGAGAATCTATTTTAGAAACTGTCCTGGGCCCTACCTTTAGAATCTGTCATATCTTCTGTATCATGTGATAGAAAGCGTAGGTGGACAGGAGCTTCAGTAACCATTGAGTCACTGAAGACCTAGGGCCTTGCTTGATGCACCATGCTTATATCAGGCCTGCAGCAGAATTGAGGTGTAGGCTTTAAGGCCAGGCAGGTCAGTCACATTCCATGATCTTTCCAGAAAATACACAAGTTGCCACCTAGACTCACTTAAACCAATACCTCCTTTTAGACCTCCTAAACAAATGCAAACCACAGGCACACATTTACTTCAACAGATGATTTTAGCCATATGTCCCACATGTTATCATTTACTGATGCTGCCCTGAATATTAATACATTTGTCCGTTTGGTAGTAATTGGTTTTTACTATTTATAGTCACCTAAATTCTTCTGATCATGACATACTTCATGCTCTGTAAATCTTCCATACTTTATTCTTCATTTTAAATTCCATCTATGGAATTTATAAAATTCTTACTGTATTTTAATATTCCGTGACTGAAATTCAATATTCTGTGGCTGGCCTTGCATAGGAAAAGGACATGTGGGGAGAAAAAGAGGAAGTATAATGTTGGGCCAAGGAGAGTCTTTATGAAAGTGAACTAACTAATCCACTGCATGTGCACTGGTAAGTATTACACCAAAATGAAACCAAAAAATAGATATGTTAATTCGGTGTTGCTGTGATTCAGCCCCTTACTGATAGAAGCTCTCCTGTGTGTACCATGAACAGGGTTGTTGTGGATTAATTAATGGTGAATTTGTAATGCCCAGATGAACTGAATCAGTGTGGCTGGGTGTAGAATATCTATCTGAACAATTGCTAACCTAAAGCCATAAAGAAATAACTGTAGGGGAGATCGTGGGCTATTGATTTTCTAGGAGAAGCTTGGTGTGGATGGTTTTCCTGGTGCAAACTTGGCTGTTCTCATTGAAGGAGCACCTCAGTACCTCTCTGTCACTGGGAATGCCTGCTGTTCTTGTTAGGGAAACTTTGATCTTTACCATGGGCATCGCTTCCTGACTCCAGTG